GATGTAGTTTGACACGTGTGATAAGTACATGGATGTAGTTTGACACATGTGAAAAGTACATGGATGTAGTTTGACACGTGTGATAAGTACATGGAAGTAGTTTGACACATGTGAAAAGTACATGGAAGTAGTTTGACACGTGGAAAAAGTACATGGATGTAGTTTGACACATGTAAACAGTACATGGATGTAGTTTGATACGTGTGGAAAGTACATGGATGTAGTTTGACACATGTGATAAGTACATGGATGTAGTTTGACACATGTGCTAACAGTAGTTTAGCAGGATCACTGGCTCTTACCCTGACAGCAGCAGCGGAGGACTCAGAGCTGAAAGTCCGGTGGAGGTGAAGTCTGCAGGGGGCACGTGTCAGTCTCACCGCCGCTGAATTCAAAGCGGATAAACGCGACAGCAAACATGTTCTAACTGTGGGAAACATCTGGAAACACAGACACGAGCCGCAGCGACGAGCTAGCTTTAGCTGCTAACCTCTGACTTCTGCGTTAGCTAACCTCCACATTCGTGTTGAATAACATAAACAGAGGTCGCACGGTGATGACGTTTATCACAAGGCAGACTGGAACTTGTAGTCCTACATGTGATGTTATGTTTGTATCATTAAAGTTGAGAGGACATTGTTTTTATTATCATTATTTAATTGTAGCTGTGATTTTTTTAGCTTAGCATTAGCCGGACAGCGTGACGGACAGAGGGGGCGTGGTGACCATATGTGTGTCCAGCACAGAGACGGGGCTGCTGCTGCGAGACGTCTCACTCCGCTGCTTTTTCACGAGTCACGTGTTAGTGGAGCTGAGCCGAAGTCTCACTCCGTGTAAAGAACAAGAGACCGTGTGTTCATGGCTGATGTGTTTTAAAAGTAGACCTGGGTGACATAGGCACAGCCACCAGAGTTGCATTACAGTAGCATGGAGAAAAGTCAGCTGGTCAAGTCTATTCTCATTTTCACCTGCATGTCATAACAATGAATTTAAAAATATGAATTCAAAACAACTTTATTTGTCCCATTAGAGCATTTCTAAGGCACAAAGATATGGTGGCCGATCGAGCAATTTGACAACACATGCGCTGCAAAAAGTCACAACACACGCGAATACAGAAACGAAAACAACACCGGAAATGTTTCCAGGGGACCCTAAAAAGTGATGAACCTGGCTGTAGCTGACTTCAGTAATATCAAACATGCTTGTACTATATTTGTATTGTAGTCAATATTATAGTGATGATATAAATGTAAACTTTAACTACAGTTGTGACATAAACACAGTGGAGTAAAAAGCAGGATGATGTAGTTTTAAGACCTCGGTTGTTACACCATGATTGTGTGTGGTTTTATTGAATTGCTTCAGTTTTTCAGGTAATAACCACACAGAAAACCTCCAGTAGTTAAATTACATGGTCGGGTTAGTACTTTCTCTCTTTGCCTTGGGAAGTAATCAAACTGCCATGTACAGGAGGGGAGGGGGGTCAACTGGGGCCTAGCAACACATTTTTGCCCCAGGGCTCCGAGGAGATTGAAGGTTGACTGAATGAATGCTACGGGCAGTGGAGGCCATACATTTTTATAGTGGTCTTGATGAAGAAATCCTGCAAATGTAAAATCCTGTATTGGTCACTTCAAGGCAAATAATCTATCTGCTTTATTAGATCAGTATTGGCGACCATAACAATCTGGTGTTGAATTTACTCTGGAAGCTGTTCCTGTAATAGCTCTGGTTAACCACAGACGGTTGTACATAAATCAGCAGGCCTGCTCTGTTGTATTCCTGGATTGGTAGTATATAGTTCTAACAAAGTGTTCAAGTACCTTGATTTGTCAGACATCTACTTCGTCAGATGAATGGAAAACAGACATTCTCATAATTTCTCAGCTGAATCCAGGTTTATTTACTGTGTCGTGCCAAACATGTCACTGCATAAAGCACTGAGTAAATGTAAGGCCCTCGATTTAATCAGTATAAAATGCGACTGCCAGGATTTTTACTGGTTTAAGAAAACATTATCACATAACACTATCCTAACTTTATTGGTTTGGTGTTTATTCACACATTCATCTTAGATCATCTGATAGTTGTTGTTGTCTGGGAGTTCCCATTTGGCTTTTGTAGCACAGGCCCTCAAACTCTGGAATGACCCTACCAGCTGAGATCAGACATATTATATCTGTTAATGCATTTATATCTCTTCTTAAAATGTTTTTTAAATGTATTTTATTTACTTTTATTCAATTTTCTTGTGAGACACTTTGTTTGGAAAAGTGCAATCCCAAAAAAACTTAGTGTTATTATTACTGCATGATATACTGTAACCCCCCCCCCTCTAATTTTAGACCTATGCTTCCAGTACAGCAGCCCCTTGGGAACACACACACACACACACACAGAAAGTGAGATGGGGGGTCTTTGCTACTGAGTTGATTTCTTTTTGAGTCTAGGGTCACTTGAATTTCCAAAACAAGCGCACGTGATGAGATCAAAAGTCTTAACAACAGGGTCTTTCTGAGTGCAACAGTCACGGCCTGGTACAACAGCAGCTGCAGAGGTGAGCCCCTGTGCTATGCAGACTGGGCCTCCATGATGTGATCATTACTACTACTTTCAAATTGTGCCATTGTTGAAACTCTGCTCACTTCGTGTCTACTGTTCCCACTTCACAGACGCTGATTCAATCATGCCCCCCGCTGCAGCAACCAATCTGGGCTACACCCCACCAGATGGAGGCTGGGGCTGGGCCGTTGTCTTTGGCTCTTTCATCTCCATAGGATTCTCCTATGCCTTTCCCAAGTCCCTCACCATCTACTTTAAAGAAATCCAGGCGTATTTCTCAGTTTCCTACAGTGAGATTGCCTGGGTGTCTTCAGTCATGCTTGCTTCTATGTATGCAGCAGGTCAGTGGCATCAAATTCTATGAATGTTGACAAAGGAATTTAAAAAAACGCACATTCCCACACAATACATAGTCAACTGTAAAATTAAGCAGAGTCATTTTATAAATATTTCGTCCTTTATCAAGATGAAACAGATTTACCTTCAGTGCTGTAAAATACCCAAAGAATGAGACATGTCCTTCTTCCTGTGTGCAGGACCACTGAGCAGTGTACTTGTCAACCGCTATGGCAGCAGACCAGTGGTTATGGTCGGTGGGCTGATGGTTTGTGGTGGCATGGTGCTCGCTTCTTTTGGCACCACTATCATACATCTGTATCTTTGTGTTGGAGTAATTGGAGGTAATTTTTCTTTTTTTCATTTCACAATAATGATCATATTTGCTGTAAATTTTGCTGAAATTTACTTACTTCAATAATTTTTGACTCATCTCACTACTAATGTCCCTTCTGAGGAGGATGCAATGGCCGTGGCATGACTCACATTCATGCTGCATGAGTTGTAGATTTTCTATCAGAATCAGTCCCCTGTAGGATCATTTGTGTCCCCATGTGGGTTAATGCTGGTTATTCTGTGCAATGTGTAAATGTTTGTAATATCCATGGCCTTGTCTAAATGGTGCAATCGTTGCATTTTAGAAAATCTGCACATGCATGCATGTTTGCCGGATCACATGATGGCTTGACTAACAGGGAGTAAACAACCTCAGACTTTAAACTTAATCTGTAATCTAGTTGTAACACACAAAAGAAAACTTAACTGAGAATAGTCACAGGATTTTCTCTTAAAATAAAAAGCATGGAACGACCGTGGACATAAAATGATTATTTCTGAACTAATCAGTGTTTTTTAAAATCTCTGATCATAGTGAAAAAGGTCCCAATTTGCTAAAAGTCAAAGTGGCATCTTCAAATTGCTTCATTTGTCCAACCAACTGTCCCCAAAATAATTCAAGTGAAAAAGCAAAGAAGCCACTTCTGATGACTAAGAAGCTGATAACAGAAGATGTTTCTTCAGGAATGATTCACACTAATGATCCATCATCAAAACTTTTGCCAATCCTTTTTTTTTTAATCACAAAGTGTCAACAGAACAATTTGCCTGAATTTATGTGAAGCTAAATATGAAGTTGTGCACCAGCTCTGCACAAATTCATATTTACTCTCTACAGTTTATCTATATCAACATTTTGCAAATATAACGTAACATTTAAACTGAATAGTAAAACTGAATTTCTATATAAATGTGGGCATGGTTGTCCTTATAATGTAAATTAAAAGTTTGTCAATGATCATACTCTCCATGTTTTCTAATCTGTATTAGTTATTATTATTAATCTTGATCAGACAGCAACATGACAAGTTTGGAATTCTCACTTTACTGTATATAGCAAAAACAATTATTCATGGCGTGCAATTAACCATATTATTGTTACACCAGGTTTAGGCCTTGCTTTCAACCTGCAGCCAGCCTTGACGATCATCGGCACCTACTTCCAGGTCAAGAGGCCATTAGCAAACGGGCTCGCCATGGCAGGAAGTCCAGTGGTTCTGTTCACTCTGGCTCCGCTCAACCAGTTTCTTTTTGATTCTTTTGGCTGGAGAGGGAGCTTCCTCATCCTGGGAGCAATCGTTCTGAACTGCTGTGTCGCTGGTGCTCTGATGAGACCGGTCAACAAGGTCATCCAACCCAAACCGAAGATCAAACCACCGCAGAACGATCAGGAGAATCCTACCTCAAATGCCAGCGCACAGTCTGTGAACCTGCTGACTGAAGAAAACCAAAGAGAAAGCAAGAGTGAGCGCTGTTTGGACAAATTCATAGATGTCTCACTTTTCAAAGACAGAGGCTTCCTCATTTATCTCATCGGTAACGTGGTCATGTTTTTTGGCTTTTTCGCTCCTGTGGTTTTTCTGGCTCCGTATGCACGACATCAGGGGGTGGATGAATATTCAGCAGCTTTCTTGCTTTCTATTTTTGCTCTGGTGGACATGTTTGTCAGACCAGCAACCGGCTTCATCGGTAACACCAAGTGGATTCGCCCAAGGATCCAGTATTTCTTCAGCTTTGCTGTTGCTTACAACGGTGTGTGTCACCTCTTGTGCCCACTGGCAGAAGGATATGCGGGTCTGGTGGTTTACACTGTCTTCTTCGGGGTGGCCTTCGGGATGCTTTGTGCGCTGCTCTTTGAGGTCCTGATGGACCTCGTCGGAGCGAAGCGCTTCTCCAGCGCTGTGGGACTCGTCACCATCATCGAGTGTGGACCAGTGCTGCTTGGACCTCCGATGTCAGGTTTGTAAATCTCACAAACACACAAAGATATTTTCAGGACTAAAAAACAAGAGATTTTGAAATGGCAACCAATGACATGCATCTTCTCTTTCAGGAGCCTTGGTTGATAAGTTCGGGGATTACAAATACATGTACTATGCATGTGGTGTGATAATGCTGGTGCCTGGCATATTTTTCTTCATCATGAATTACTACAACTACAAGAAACTGGACGAGGAGCAGAGGCTGAGTGTGGCTGCGGAGATGAGGAACTCTGAAGAGGCGGTAGAACTTAAAATAACCCAGGGCGAAAAAAACAGCGTCTGAAACAGATGGATGAACCTGCTGACTGCGATTTTTATTTCAGTTGGTGACAGAAAGAAAAGACAGAACATGTTGGATACAGTGTACAGGCTATTACTACTAAAATGTATTTTAAACTTTGGTTGAGTTTATCTCTCTCTGGACCTTTGCTATATATCTGTATTAACATTTGCTGTTATAATGGTTGTTTTATGTATAGTATTATAATTATGACGTTGTGTCACAGCTGAAGCTCTAATGGCCTTTGCTCTTCAATCATCGAAAACTGCCCCCGTTCCCTCCAGTGCAATAATCGTAATGGCTCTATAAAGTAATATGGTGCCTCTCTGATTATTCAGTGGTTGAATAAAAAATCATTTTCCTGAGGGACTGATATAAAATAATGAGTCAAAACCCTGAACATGGAGCCAAACCAGTGCTGGTTATTATCACCCTTGGACCACTAGATGGCACTGGACACTATCAGAGAGCCAGTTATTTCTCTCCCATTAAAGCAGAATTAAACAAAAGCCGTCATCACTGAGGGTTTAGAGTTTTTACAACATTGTTTTTCCAAAGTGTGGGTCATCACCCTCCCCTCGGCTGCCAGAAACTGTTGCATGAGTCACAGAGGACGCAGCAGTGAAAAAAAGAACACAGAGAATATTAAATGTCTGGTGTAAAGACAACAGACTTTCTCCCTTAAAACACATTCCCAGGATTCCCTTCATGCTGTCCAGAAATTTAAATATCACTTGTAGAGAAAAATTCATTATTCAGTCTTCAAGTCAGTAAAATAACATTTTCAGTGTTACGGGAATCTGTAAAAGTTGTTCCACTGCTGCACCGATTTAGAATTCAGAAAGAAGTTATGGAAATGTTTCAGAATTTAATTATAATATAAATGCGAAGAACCCAATGTGCATCAAGACGTCAGATTGCATTTGCATCTGTGGCTGAAGAAGACATTTTTACTATAGCTACAGGCCAGGCGTCTATTTCTTATTGTTATTAAGACATATTTCTACATTGTGAAAAACCTAATGATTCAAGGACAAAGATTCTGACTTGCACATGTCAGAGAAAAAACTGTGATTTCATGCCAGGTTACTCATTATTCCACCACAGGTCAAACTTCATTTTCCAGCACACTGCGTCATTACAGCTCCTCAATGCCATGCAGGCCTTGAGCACTTGCTGCACAAGATACATGGGTGAGCCATTCAGTAAATGAACAAAGCCATTATTACAGATGTATGTTTTAATTCTTTATCATGTCGCTGCAAGGTGCATATTGACTCCCTTTTTCAGACGCCCGAAAATTGCTTATGCGACTGAATCAATAAGTTTATTTATAACCTCAGATAACATCATTTGAAAATCAGGCCAAATCACTGCAGGTCTGTGGCCTGTGTGTGGGAGGTCTCCTCTATGAATCCTGGTTTGAATTCAACCAACTCAAATTTGAATCAGGTTTGAGCACCAATATAAAAAATGTTGAATGCTCCGACAAAGAGTTTGTGTTATTTGTTTGTTTTAACCTTGAGATTTTTTCCCAAACGAAAATATATTATTACTAATAACTAATAAGCCTGAGTTCTACCTTAAAATTCACAAATTCATTTTTTAATTGGAGAAAAAATATGTTTATTCAATAGTTGTGTCAAAAATAAGACATATATATATATATATATATATATTTATACTGTATACCATTGAATTACTATTACTTGTGCAATAAATGTGTAAGTAGAATTTTACTCTTGGTTGAGGTGGAACTAATTTTCAATTATTTTATAAAGGTTATAAAAGGATGCAACTAATAAATATTTTTGTTATGGATGAATCTGATTGTTGTGTTGCTGATTTATTCATTGGGTGCTTTGTAAAATCTCAACAAATGATAAGAGGTCAAAGTAACATCTTAAAAACTCTGAAACCATGAAATGATTCAAGTTTTAATTTTTAATTTTTATCAAACTATCAGCTTTATGAGTAAACGCGTCATAATAAAAGTACAGACACCTTAAAGTACAGTGCTTGAACAAATACCATTTCCACGACAGTACATGTGATGTTCAAAGCCGAAAAGACATTAGAAATAACTTGTGAGATTTAAGTGCATCGTACTTTTGTTGCTTTTCATTTGAATAACTCTTATCCAGTTTGGAAGGCTGTAAAAAAGAGAGGACCTGCTTCCAATGTAAATATAAAGTATTTAAATCTAATGGGCCCATTATAGGATAAAGAAACAACAATTCATACAATTAGATGATTACACACGTGTGAAAAAATCACTAGGATTATGTTATATAAAATTTCTACCGATAGATCCCTTTCACCTAAATCTTACACACTTGACCTTTAAAGCAGTCCTTTAAAAACGAAGGTGTTATAATTATGCAGATATATTGCAATGACATAGATAGGGTAATGACTGGACACAAAGTGAAGGAGTGAGGACTTCCAATTAGTGGCAGCTCCCATAAGCTCTGCATCATCTCCCAACTGAACAGCTTGAGCATAATCACTGTGATGAACTGTGACTGATGTCAGTAAATCTGACTTTAATTGGGAGCAGGAAGATTGAATCCAGGCAGCTCTGTGTACAATCCCAGTGTATAGACTGCCATCGTGCTGAGACGTGATGGTTTAACCGGTCTGAGCAGTTGCATCCCAAATTCAGTTTTAACCAAAAAAAGAGGAACAAAAAAAAAAAAGAGTAAGCGATACTGTCTATTTAATCCAGCATGTTTGTTAATAATCTCTGCTAATCTTCTTTACCCACGGCAGCAGAACTAATCTGTCTTCACAATGTTTACACTCGGAGGGAGGGCAACGTCATGTGAATACCAGAGACTTAAGAGTTTATTCATCAGCCCTGTGGATGGAGCTATTAATGACACATCGCTGGACTAAAATAAACATCGACAGGCGGTGCGGCTAACATGGACACAGAGGGCATGTTGACATGTTCTAACAGACAGAGGAGCAATTGCCGTGCCAGTCTATCAAGGACTCAATCACACCTTCCAGAGACGAGGCGCCGTAGCCCCGCAGTGTGTCTTAACTGACGGTTGTCCCCGATGAAACACAAGATTTACAGAGATCATAGGGTGAAAACGAGATGCACACTATCCCATTCTTTGAAATCAATATTCTTTGCAAACAGCCACCAGGACATCGATCATGGTCACCTTGATATTCATGTAGAGTAAAATCTTCTGTATTTCTGAGATATTTTTGAAATGAGCCCTTCTCCAGCATCAGCAGTCAACATCTGAACGTGTCGAGGGAATAACAGAATATATCCAGGCTTTGTTTCACCCTCCAAAATCCCCAGAGGGCAGTGTGAGTAAGATGAAAGATATCTGCTCAACAAAACACTCATATGACTGATTATTCATGTTCATCTCGAAGGGGACAGTTGTCAACAGATATATGCACAGAAAGCTGTAGCTTCAGAGCAGCACCACTGTTTACTTAGATGCCATTCTATGAGTAGGTTAACTTTTAAAGTATTTGTGCTTTGCGTCAGCATCTCTTTCTGCGGCTTCTCCCCACTAAATTATAGAAAACACATACCCACAACTACTACATGCCTTGATTTGAATCACGCTGCACCACATTGCTTACACTAAAAACAAAAATCGTGGATCTGCCACTTTGTCTGATCCATCGCAAAATGTACTCAGTTCTGTTTTAGCCCACGTCCCTTCATTTCTCTACGTTTCATGGAGAAAACGTCTTCGGGGGGAAGGTAAGAATTGTACTTTTTACTAAAGGGCAGCTGTAATTACTAGTTATTCTGCAGATTCAGATATTTTGTCCATTGTTTAAGATGAAGCTATATGACTTAAACTCGTGAATGAGACAGTTTTTTACAGTATGCTTCTTACACAGTGAGTTGTGTCCTTCTTAGGTGTTCGCTTCATTATATATATCGACAATAGAAATTTTGGAATGAAAAACCTTTGTTGATGTGTTATTTAACTAGTTAATAAGCTGCAAATTAAACCTCTTGAACTTCCAGAACACCTTATAGGTCAGACAGCTAAAGCTCCATTAAGCTGAGTCAGACCTGATGTGATATTTCTCTGACTGTTGAGCTTATCGAGACGCTTTGGCTTGAACATCTATGGCTGAAACACTAATTTCCTAAATTGTTATCATGAAAACATTGATCCTAGCTGCTTACATTAAAAGAATCTGAATATTTATTGATGTTACGTCAGAATGTTAGTGAACAGCACACAGGAACCAGCCTGTGAAACACAGCGTGGTGTAAAGCCAGTGTGGTATTACAGACACTTGACCAGACAAGCTGAGCTGCTGCCGCTGCTGCTGGACGTCAGGCCTCCTGGTGGAATACAAATGGGATAAAACAAAAGCCCTGGAGAAGACGGACGTTTTTCTGAACTCAAACAAAAGAGGAACTTAAACCCCCAAACTACTCAATCATGACTAATGCTTGTAAAAGAAATTGAGTTGCTAAGCAAAAAGGACTTAATGAGATTATGTTAACCATAATTAACAATCTGTGGAACAAATTTGTCCAAAACCCAAGAACAGCACGGCTTTTTCTGTCGGCCGTCGAGCCTAAGAATGTGTGAATTATCATCGCAACACACATTTACCCCACTTTTCAGAGTTGACAATGCAGAGCCCCTGACCAGTATCCTTAATCTGCCACTCAAAATACATTTAGCCTTTGTGAGAACAAATGTGCGCCACTGAAACACTGGTCGTGGAGACTCTCTGCTGCCTATTAGAAGCATTGTTCCTCTTTATCTGGTGAACACAGACAACCACTGAAGCTTGCATGTCTGGGGACGGTGCTACTGTTGTGTGCATATTACAAGAAGAATACAAGGATTGTCCTGTGGATTATAATCTATCCTTTGAATAGCACGCTGAATTACAGTGCTTTATACGAGCAAATTTGATTGAGGCGCTGAAGAATGGATGGATGACAAGTACCCACAAGCATCTATACATCGTGCACACATGCAGTCAGATGCGATCAGTGGCATTTGGATGATAGAAAATAAGCAGGCTGTGTTATCAGTCTATCAGGGCAGCACACTTGAGTGAACATTTCAAGCCCAGAGATAATATTATAAGATTTCATTTAAATCCTCTGTCTTGATTTGGAAAATTGTATTGAATCTGAGATAGCTCCCAATCCCCATGTGCGGACGTCTGAGATAGGCATTCCAGCGTCATGTCCTCGGGGATCGACAACCAGGCCTGGGCTGAGACTGAGAGCATGACGGAGAGACTGGGCATGGAAAAGGGAGAGAAGCAGAAATAATTATAAGAGCAACTGAGGCGTATCGGCTTGTCCTTGGCTCAAAATGAAAAGCAGGATGTGACATGATGGCACAAATCAACTGCAGGCCCATATACGATACCTGATTCGCTCATAACATCTGTGTAATTACACATCAGGAACCTTGTAATACTGAGATTCTGTAACCAAATTGTGTCATCTTCACATTTCTGGCCGGGACCCAGGATAATTAAGTGTATCATTACCCCGAACTGAAACTATCGACGGGCAGGGGAGTGGTAATGATGGCGGCTCTCTCTGGGAATGTGCGAGGCATTAATGTGTAACTTATTTTGATACCCAGCGCGCACTATGTCGTGAGGGGTTTAGAGTACACTGGCCTTCTGTAATATGAACGCCACAGTGGCTGAAGTGAATCAATGTCCTCAGAGGTTCTTTGTGTTTCAAGGGCAGTCTCTCCTGAGTCCCGGGCTGACATGATGAGATTGTTGACTGTCGCAGCTGCCACACTAAGCCTGCCAAAGGTGTGTGATTAAATTCCCATTCTTTTCCCACAGAGAAGTGGAGCCATTTAGAAACCTATAAACCATATGGACAATTCAATGAATTGTCTTTTAAGTAGTTCCCATAGGTTTTCTCAGAAAGAAACTTCGTAAGAACACAGTGTTTTTAATTCTAAATTTAGATTTCAAGTAGTTTAGAAACACTTTTAAAGAAGTTGTCAGTAGGTAGAGAGAAAAGGTGGAATTACATAAGTTTGAACATAAACTAAATCATTAAAATCATTAAAATAAAAACTGAAGCTGGTTTAAGAAGTGTCAATGAATAATAAATACTATAAATGCTTATTCTAACAAGTGTTATGTATGCTTATGTGTCTTATGTGCCTTGTTCCTCTTTTCCATAAAACTGCATTGTTGTAAAACCATTGGGTGACGTTGCAGTTTATTTGAGTCAATAGATATCTGTTATCTGCTAATGCTCATCATGTGAATTAATCCACGGCCCAAAATAGAACCAAAAAAACCAACCATTTAGTCCTGTATGAGTAACTTTAGCTGAATGCAGCAGCACCCAGCTGTTTGGGGAATTGACTAAGCCTTTTTTAAAGAAATGAAGCTACATACAGAGGGATAATTGTGACCTGATTTTAAGGATTTACATCTGAGAAGAAACCAATGGGCTTGAGTCTTAGTGCCACAAGAGGATAGGGAAGTTGCAGAGTCTTGAGAAATGGATTAATCCATTGTTGGTTTTCATCCTTTCAAAAAAAAATCTTGCAACAAGTCCTGGAAATTAAACAACATAATACATGATCTATATTTGCCCTCTACTGTGTCTCCAGGACTTTGGAACTCGAG